GCATGTGAGTGGAGAATGCCATATGTTACCTATCAACTGTGGTGTTTGCTCACTATGTATTTACTGATAACACAAGTTATCTACTGATCAAATGGTAGCCTTGAGTGTGAGATGATCCTAGATGTCACACCAGAGGCTAGCAGCAAGAAGAGCAGTCCAGGCTTTTACCAGTGACTTTCTGCAGTTTAAAATTTATTGTCCAAGACAAGAGCAAGCATTGATATACAGCCACACACAACTGTCAAGGCAAGAAGGCAACTATCCAGAAGGCACTTGATGTAGGAAAGCTGTACTATTCAACGACACTTAATTGTTCTGTTTTTTAAGCTTTCCACAGCCCTTTTGCAGAGACAAAGATGAAGTAATGCTTGAGTTTGTCTAGTAATTTCTTTCTTGTGTTGGAAATTATTTTCCCTGTTGGGGTTCCCCTACGTATGTATAAGTGTATGTTTGTGCACATTTATTTTTTGATAGTGACACGTGACTCCTGTTGCTACTGTGCTGGGGACCTGCTTCAAGTGATTTCGTGTTGACTTTGTTCAAAGTCAAGCAAATGCTGGAAAGAGCTGCTTGTTGGTACTTGTGCTGTACAGCAGGATCTGCCACTTGCAGAGAAAATGGTATGTAAGATATGGACTAGAAAGGTCGAAGTAGAGATGGCCCACTGAATTGCACCATACTTATTAAGAAGGCAAATTATATCAGAAGATGTAGCAGAACACCTAAGACTCTGCCTTAGAGGAAATAGAGCAGCTCAGCTTCCCTAGGCTATTTTTCTCTTTGTTATTATCTCACATCAAGAAGCTTGCTGCTAATTATAACTTGAATTCAATCTTTGCTAATTAACATGGGTTCCAACGTTGCAAGATAATAATGAAAACTTCTTTATGGCTCCGAATTCTTTGCAATTGGCTTTTTTGAACCATACCAATTCTACAAAACCAATGTCAACTATGATATCAGTTGGGAACTGAATCACAACTAGGATTCAGGACAGAATAAATGTGTTATTGAAACTTAAATTTAAGAATAACCAAACAACACTGGTTAGATTGAAAAGGAAATTATCTCAGCACCCATTTTGTGTTGCCTCCATTAGGAAATTTGACTTCAGATGTGTCTAAGCATAGTATTTTACACAAGGGAACAGCATGATAAATGATTTTCAGATTTGAAATAGCAGTGCTACTCTTCAGCTGCTCTTGGAGTTCCTCACTAGCTTTTCTCTTGAGACTTAAACAGAATTATACTGTCCATCTTCATAGGAAAGTAAAGGTATGCTAGAAAGATCTGTTGGCTTTGCTTTGATTGCCACTTAAAAGGCTGCATTACTCAGGTGTGATACAATACAAATTGCTATAAGAAATCAGCACTGTTCATGATAACTTGTGATTCTTGGCTTCGTAGCCCTGTGGAGCTGAGCTGCAGGAGGTGCAGCCTCAGTTCATGGGCTTGGAAAGCGTATCTACAATAAGTAGTTCAGTGTAGTCGGTCGCTGCAAAGAAATTCCTCTGCCCACTCCTTCCTGTTGCCTTCTGGATGGGAGATGATCCCTGTGAGATGTTGCTCTTAGCTCCTCCTGACAATGTTTTTTCCATCTGCCCTTATGCTATTGCTGTGATACAGATACATGATCTGGTCATGTAGATGCATGAGGCACACTCGTAACTCGGTGTGCCCGTGGGCCAGGCCAGAACTGCCTCTGCAAACATGGTGTGCTGGTGTGGATGAAGCAGTTGGACACCTCAAGCTGTTTTTCAGTCCCAGCTGTGATGCTCTCAGGATACTTCTCACTTTCCTGCTGTGGCTGGGCAGATTGGAAGCTTAAGATGGCCATATCTGGCAAGTCTGTTCTGCAACTTCCGTGTGCTCGAGGTGTTCAAACCTTATTTGGCCTTAGAGTGTGAGCAAAAGACTTCGTCCATCAGGCTTGGAATTATGAATAATGATTCACATGTTCGTGCTTTGAATTGGTCATATTAGGAAGTCCTCAAGTAATCAAAGTCTTTAAACAAAACTAAGTCTGCCATCTCAGTTGTTGAGTACCTCCATTACTGCTGTGCAGATTTCAAAAGTATTTATAACTACCCTTGTGGGTGGATCTGCAGAAAACCACAGCTTCAACACAGGTCATTAACAATGAATTTCTGGCAGTTGTTCACGATATGTTTATTTTTGTATCTTCTGATGCAATCATTGAAAAACTAGACTTTTCATGACCTTTCTTTCCCAGGAAACTGCTTAATCAGCTTTAGTATCAAGTCTTTTTTTGCTGGTGGGTGGTGTGAAGGTGTTGTATTCTGCTTTTAGCTCTTACTGCTCTAGTCTGGTAGTAATAGGCGATAAATTACATTAATCTCCCTGTGCTGAGTCTGTTGCCTCGTGATGGCAATTGATGAGTGATATCTCTATTCTTAATCTACAAGCCTTTTTCATTCTGTTTTTTCCCCATCCTTTTGAGGATGGGAAGTGAGAGTGTGGTGTGGTGGAGCTTGGCCACCCATTGGCATTAAACCACCCCATATAGAAAAGGGAAATGGAATCTAACCTTTCTCAGCGTTCTGCTACCATCTAAACCTGAGATCAGATGCTGCTCTCAAATCTTCTTGTGTTCCAGCTGTGTTCAGAGAAGCCTTTTAAAAATCTGTTAAATTGTGGCATTCAACTTCCTCCTTATGTGTCAACAGGATTTCTCAGTCACTTTTCTATACTAGTTATATTTCTTCCACACTTCAAAATATAATGCAGTCCACGATCCAACTTTAGAAGTATATTTCAGAAAGGGGTGAGAAGGTGTATTTTTGCTGTCTGGACAGGACAAGGATGGGCCAGATAAATAAGTGAAAAATACAAAGCAATCTAAGAGCTTAGCAACCTTTGCTCTTGGTTTGGGTTTCTGGAGCTGAAACTCTGCAACTTGATAGAATGAGAAAGCTGGGCCTCAGGCAGAGCTGTGTAATCCTTCTTACTGTCCTCAGAGGCTTGGCACACTGTAAATAAGCAGACAACTTGCTCGGGTTGTGCATCCCAAAGTAACTTGGTGTTCTTGGCTATCTGAACAGCACAGCTTGTCCTCGCTTGCACTGAATGGTTTAAAACATGCCATGGGTGATGATAGCTCTCTTCAGTTGGCCAGACCCTCAGGTGAAATGGCCAGAGCTTGTTAATCTTTTATCTTAATTACCCTGTGAGACGCATTGTGCAGTTGTTTTCCTGATTCTGTCTGGTCTTCTGAAGGCTCTAAAACTGTGTGACAAAGGTTATGTCATGGACCAAATGTATTTCTTGGGTCAGTGCCCAGGAAGCCAAGTCTGGCACATCCTGCCCTTAATTTGGATGAAGAAATGGAGAAGTTAGTATGAGGAATTGTCTTTTATGTGAGAGACACAGGAATATTCATCCAATATTCATAAAAACTAGAAGAGAATATTCTGATTCATCCTATGTGTGTGGAAGGAGAAAATCAAAAGACAAAAGAGTGGTTTGTGCTGGCCTTATTTTCCTCATGCGGTCAGTGCTGGAACTGGGCTTTGCATTAACAAACCTGTCAATAAAATATTCTGTAACAGCTAGAGCAGCTCATACTTAATGGGAAAACATGAAATGTTCCATTTGGAAACAACTGCCCTTTATGTAAGACACATTTCTTCTCTTCCCCTTTTGTTCGAGGAATCTTACTTGAATAAAAAAAAGCCTTATCTGTTCAGACATCCTCTGTTCATGCTGCTCATCCCCCAAACCAGGATCATAATCATCCCCCAAACCAGGATCATAATCATCCCCCAAACCAGGATCATAATCCCTTGTTTGGACAACGTAATCAGTTGCACAAATATCAGTTGAGATAGCACGGACAGATTATAGCTTCCAGCAGGATGATGGAAGATGGGTCAGGCTTTAAATACCTCTGCCTTTATGCAACTGTTTTTTTTCCTAAGGATAAAGTGAGAGGGATGTAAACAAGAATTCTTTAGACAGATGGCCTTTAGTAACCTCTCCATGAGGCACTGGTTGCTTATAAGTAAGGAGTGGTGTGGAGAGCAAGCCCTGACTGAGAGAGGGCTTCCCAGACCTGGGGTAGGAGGTCTTGCTGCATAACCTGGGCAAAGCTTTGAACCTTAGCTGACAGCTGACTCTTGAGGCTCTTTAGTGCAATGGTTGTTAACTTGGGAAGATGGAGGGTATTTGTAGGAGCTGTTAACCATAGGTTGCTTTATTTCCTCATTTGACATGGCAGGAGGGTCATCCAGTTGTGAGTTAAGTATGGGGTGCAAAGTAACATGACAAGCATGTGTTTCTAGTCCTGATTCAGGAATAGATCCTTGATGGTCTCTAAAAGTCCAGCCTGTTTTCCTGACAGATCTCTCTCTGGATATGCCTCTTTAAGTGAGAACAAAACCTCTAGATATATCTCTAAAGACTTCACCTGGAGCATGCTGCAGCTGGTATGGCTTTAAGCTAGCTCACTTCAACTACTGTTGAATAACTGTTATTCAGTTATTCTGAAAAATATCTGTTTGTATAATGGTGCAGTGGGCTGCTATCCTTGTCAGCTCAGCTGCATCACTCCCAGCTTTGTGGTAGAGGTTTGGGGTCAAAAAACAAGCTATGAAGATTTCAAATATATTTCCTTTATAGCAGCACTGTTAGAAAACAATCTGCCTTGCAGTGGTTGATGTGAATTTTCTGACAGTTGTCTGAAGGACTAATACTGCTGCAACACTTAGTTGAAATGGAATCCAACTATTCTAGACCATTTGTTTGCTGACTTGAGCTTGATGACTTTTTTTTTAAGGTCCTCCTTTAAACCCCAGTGGTTTAGGGAGGTAGATCTGGGAGTGGGAGTGAACGGGGTGCTGGCTGCATTGCTGCTTCTTGGCAACTCATGCAGTAGGTGTTCAGAATATGATAGATACCATTCTTCAAGATTACCAGGTATCCAGAACTTCCTTCTGTAGCGCAGCTGTTTGACTTGCTACTCCAACTTAAGCTTCTGTAATTGTAGGAGACTGGGGAAGAGATCCTGGTCCTGTGCAGCAGCTGAGAGCAGTGAGTGATTTCAGTGCAGACGCAGCTCAGCTGTGAAAGTGCCCGTGAGCATAGGACAACAGCGAGGAGAACAAGTGAAGTGTGAAACTGAAGCAAGTGGGAGTGTTATGAGAGGTGGGTATGTGATGAGTAGCACAGCATGGGGCAACTTGAATATTCACTCCTTCCTTTATAAGAGACAGGAAAAAAAAAAAATCAAAAGAAGCAGATGGGTCTGACCTTTCGGTTTCCTGTGAGATGACAGATAAAAGCTAGAGTGGCAATGCAAAACTAACCATAACTACAAAATGCTGAAGTAGATATGACTGCTTTGGGAAGTTAGTTGCCAGTGCTTGGCTACAAATGCTTTTAAGATTGTCAACTTAGAGGTAAAGAATATGAGTTGGTAACAGAACTTGCTTTCTAAAGAATACCTGCCTCTTTCGCCTTGTCCCAGTGCATGTCTTGCAGTACTGTTTTGTGTTGATGAAACGAGTGTTTTTGAATATAGATGGTGAGCTAAGTGACTCTAAATGCCAAAGAATGGCACCAGCCTAGACATGGCATGCAGAATTACTCTAGGCTGTGAGTAGACTGCTGGTAGAGGAAATACTGTGGAAAGGAGGGGGTTGGTTAGGATGAAGAGTAATGTGTTTAACCCTTCAGAGAACTAGTGTGGGCAGAGCTCTGGAAACGCTTACTCAGCCAGCAGCAAATGTGAATGCAAAGCAGGTAGCATGCAAATTATCAGCTGGGCTGCTGTGAACAAATGCCTTGCTATATTCTTAGATATCTTGCTGGAAACAGGATGCTGTTCTTTGGAACCTAACAATGAATTCATTTGTGTTATGGGTTTCTAGCAGCTGTTAAAGCCATTGGCTTTAGGTACTTGTACAGCAAGCACTGCAGGTAAAATGAAATGTCATTCTTTGGTCTTACTGATAAACTCATCTACTAAGCCTCACACAGGAGGCATTGATGGTAGATAGTCAGAGGCCAGATAGAAATAACTTGATTTCACTTGTGCTATCAGACAACTGCTTTTGTATGATCACTGAGGGCTTTTTGCAGAACAGGACTTGGAGACAACTGCTGCATCTTTAATATTGGGGTCTGACATATACACAGCTCTGTATGCTTGCAACTCAGGTGCTTCAATTAGATAGGAAAAATGCAGCAAGTAACCATTGCCCTGTTGGAATGATTGTCACTGGATAAGAATTAAATGCATAAATGCATGCAGTTAGATGAACACTTTTGCAAAGTGCTTCTGTACTCAGTCAAACTATAATGAGTAAAGATACTCATTTTTCCAGGGGGAAAATAAAAAAAAAAAAAAAATCAACAAAAACATGGTTTGACTGCATTTAGCTATGTCTTCGTGAGATGTAGTTCTAAACATGCCTTTTTATCTTCAGCATGTCATAATAAAATTGGGCACATGGGGAAGAGATTATGAGCAATGAATTAGGAAACTCGTCTGGCAAAGCGTTTTTTCACCTTTTACCAACACACATGTAAATTGTGTAGGCTGCATGCCCGGTGTGGGTGGAAGGCTTGGAGATGATTCAGCTACATGGAATGTAAATGAAGTCCTCTGTAGTGAAATAAGTGGGAATGTTTTGGGCTTTCTTTAACTTTATGCTGTAAAAAGGTAATTCAAAAGCTGCTTCTAACTCCTGCAATACAGTTCTCAAAAACCTTATTAGGGATGGATGGAGTTGAGGCTTTTGTTAAACCTTCACCACAAAATATTTGTAAATCCTTGTTGCTAAGCGTGACTTGTGAAGTGAAATCTTGAGTGTCTGAAAGGCATTGCAATACTGAATTTAATGTGGAAAAGTTGCCAGCCCTAAACCAAAGGGCTATGGGCAGCTGGCTTGTAGTGAATTCAGTATTTGGGTAATGGTGCTTTAATAACTTCAGCTAAGGACTAAAGAGAATAGTGAACAAGATGGATTACTAGAAGTTGAGTGTGAGTCACCTGGGCTAACCTGCTGCCCTTGTAGCTCTGAACTAGTGATAGGAACTCAGCCATGAGATCTACCCAAGGCAACAGTTGGACATCTGTCAGTGTGTACTCAGCAACAACGAAACCATCGGTGTATGAGCAGCACTGCTTTATTCACAAACGCAAAGCACAGCACCGTGCAGTTATTATGAAGAAAATGTATTCCATCCCAGGCCAAACCAGTGCAGATGGTTAGGTGAAAGCATAATGAGCAGCTCTGGTTTTGGCTTTCGACATAATAAAATGTTTTGGGTTCCTGTGGGTTGTGCCTATGTAGGAAAAAGAATTCAAGCTGGACTAGATGTGATAAACTTCTGCTCAAGGGATCATCACAGTGCATGAACAAGAGAATACCTTTAAGTGAGAGATTGTTTTCTTGCAAACTCCTGAAAAATAAAACGGTGGCGTGCAGCTCTGGTGTAGGGTCAGCACTGGGAAGCAAACACACATCTGCATAGGTGTGCTGTTGCAGTGATCACCATCGGTCAGTATTCATCCACTTCAGTAGAGCAATGTGGGGAAACAGATCTGGACAGAGCAGATATAGGAATTGAGTATAAATCTTTGATTCTCATTACAGCAATACCCACAGAACAAATTCATAGGTCCTTAAAATACGTTATTTTTCACTGTATTTTTCAGTGGTTGATTACTGAAATGTTAAAGCTTCCAGAGTATGAAACTTAAGTAATGTTCACAACATAGTATATGTTCCTTGTGGTATTTTCTTTTGGCACTGAAATAATGTCTTATTCTCCAAAACTGCCCCAATGTTTTCTTCCTGTGGATTTCTGAGAGCAGCTGGATCTGGACATAAAACAATTGCAGCTTTTGAAAAGAGAATGGGTTGGGAGCACCAGTGTCATGAGGCACAGCCGGAAAAGAATTTTTGCAGCAAAAAAGATCTGTTAATGAATTCTGGGTATTTATAGCTCTGCAAGCTTTCCTGCCGAGTTTATCTCCATGGGAAGTTATTAGCTCAAAAGTGAGCTTAGTCACAAGCTGCTTATAGGGAATATTTCTATTTATAATATTCTTATGTCAGTAGATGATGCTTCTATGGATATTTACTAGTCGAGGTGGCCAGCACGGCTCAGGTCAAAATTCATTCCTTTTTACATAACTGTCTTAATGGGGAAAGAGCTCCATGGCTATGCCAGGTGGAGAAACACGTGCCCTGTGAGGCTGGGATGCAAGTGAAGAGAGAGATTGAAGCCCTCTTGCTTGCCCAGTAACCCTGTGTTTACACTGAGCAGCAAAGCAGGGGGTTCCCATGGCAAAGGGTAATGGGAAATCTATCAGTGCTGATGTTGTGTGTGTTATTTTCTCATCCATTTACTGCTTTATCTGATTGGTGGTTGGTGGAGCAGATATTCCTTTTGCAATGCAGAATGACTGGGCTGCCCATATGTCAGCAGAGGAGAATGGCTCAGAGCATGAATTGATATTTAAGGCTGTTCATGCATGAAATAATTTGTTTTGTAATAGCAGTGGAAAGCCTGCTTATGCATCAGTGAGATGCAGCAAGCCTGTAGTTACAGAGAGAATAAAATACAATTGTGACTGTGTATGTTCACAAATACGAATTTAGGCCTAGATGGATTTTGGTGGGTTTCTGTGCATGCAGAAGCTCCCTCCTGAATCCTTAGCTTGTTTTTTGGAAGCATCTTGCAAAAACTTGATTCTTCCATTCTAATTCTAGCTTTAGAGCTCTGCTTCAACTTCCCATCTGCTGGCTACTTTAGGTATCCTGGTGAGGCTTGACTTAGAGGAAGGCCTTAGGTCAGTGATATCCTGCCTTCCTACAGCATCTCCTGAAAAGAGGTATCAGTGCCTCCCTGCTAAATGCAGTGGCAGACCCAGGCACAGGTAGGTGAGACCTCCTGACCCTGAGGGTGCGTCTGATAGGTAAGGCTGGAACCACGTGTAGATTTCCAGTTACCAAGGAGGAACACTTGTAGTCTGTGTCCCCAAAGCTGTCACAGTTGGCTGCACGTCTGGCTACTTAGCCTCCAATGCACCAAAGCTTTGGAGCCATTTTTCTACTGTTTGTTAAATAGCAGATATAATTCAGAAGGAAGCCTGGTCTCAGGAGGCTTGCCGGGCACTGCCAGCTAGCAGTAGAAAAGCAGCTTTAGCAGTTCTAGGAACTAAAACAGGAGAAGTAGAGTGGTATTTGGAATGCTATATTACATGTGGCTTTTGATTTGCTAACCAGTCTGACGGATACTGCAGCTGCTCAGCTCTGTGTGGGCAAGCAACTGCTGTGCTAAGCAAGAAAAGTCAACACCTGGCAGCAAAGCCTGGCTTCCAGAACAGCAGTGCATGCTTCAGCACCAAGTCCTGGGCTCCAAACAGTGCAACCCTCTCGGGGAGGACATGCCTCAGGGTTTCAGTACCTCTATAACCAGAAAGTTGAGGTTGTATTGAGGGCACCAGGAATCCTGTACTGGGCACCAGCTGTTGTGCTGAATTGTACTGAACAGAAGAATCCAATTAGCCCTTCCAGAAGGTGCAGTGTCACAGCAGGCTCTCCTCCAGTTCAGCTCATAGCAGTCTCTGTCTGCTGTGGTTAAAGTCATTAGTTGGGCTCCCTTACCAAAACCTCTAGAATGCCACTCATTTACTGTCACTGGTTAGTGTTAACTGCTGCTCAGGACTCTGGAGGGTGCATTTTTCTTCTATTGCATATGCTAACTGGCATTCTAGGGAGCCCTTAAGGAAGCTGAGGTTAACTCGAGTTCTTTGCTGGTGATGCAGCACTGTGATTCATGTAACCACAGCAGTTCACCTAAACATGCACTACAGTGCCTAAGGTTTATGTCAGCGTATCTCTCAAAAAGAGATGTGATTCATGAACCTGAGAACCCTGTGCTATTATCTCCCATTTGAATGAGCCCGATTGAAATGTTCACAAGAGCCTGCAAACCCTGCTGCCAGATTGTTGGGCTGTAAAGCATCAACACTGTGATTTATTTTGGTTTTGATGTAGACTGGGGGCTATGTGGTCTCTTAAGCCTCTTTGAGGACATGATTCAGCCTTATTTCAGCAAGAAGAACTGGAGCTGTAGATGTCTTCATTGCTAAAAAGCCACTGGGAAGCACTGGCTGCTGTAGACAAACC